ACTACGCATTATTAGATGAGTCTAGAGAGTGGTAAGAGTAAGAAGGGGCTAGTTTGATGCGGTTTGTCTTGGATTTTAAAAATGTCATGGGGATGGGGTCAGTGATGCAAGATATAAAGCCTAGCTTCATATATGGAACCTTAACTTCTTTATTAGCAACACTAGTGTCTGAAACTTGCATTAAAGGACTATCAGCTTCATATTAAATAATTGTGATTCAAACCAATGATCACCAAATCGGCTTTATAGATATCTAGTGAACTACAAGACCCGAGCGGCTAACTTCATTCTTAAAATGATCAGCTCAAATCACAAAGAGGGTCGTTCACTTATGACATCCAGGGAGGAAATTGAGGTCAGCAAGAAAATTAAAATAGAAATTCCTGGAAATTCATTGTTCGTTTTTGAAAGATGACCGTTAATTTCAGACGTCATAAGTGAACGACTCCTACCCGGTTCGTAAAACATTTTCCTACTTGATCCTCATCTTCATTTTTTTATGAATTCATCTTCCTCTATAAATAAATTCATGCAATGTAATGCATTGCAATAATCCATTAATCATGATTCCTCATAATTGTTTCCCTCACACACAAAATGCACACACTTGAGTTTATAGCAAAAAACATACTGAATGGTGATTTATGATGATCACCAGGCTCGAGAGTGTGAGAAGATTTTTTTTTTATTTCGTTTGTTGCTCGGATGAAGGAGACGATTAAGGTTTTGACCCATTTATAGCATCAACAGTTGCGAATTTTCATCATCACGCGTATTTTTATTATGTTTTCTGTTTTTGGACAGTGAAAAAAGATTATTTCCATTATTAATCTCCTCATATGTCAGCTGCATCAATAATAGTATGGCATTATTGCAACATGTAATTGAGATATCATTTAATACATCGTCTTCTTTCCTTTTCTTTCACTGCTTTGCTTTGTTTTAAAGCATATGTGCACACACAATTGTATGGCTTTTCTTATGATCATCATCTTCTTACCAAGTTTTATTTTTTTTTCGCTTGTTTGCTTTCAATTGAGATGAAATAAAATAAGAAGCATAAAAAAAATAATAATAAAATGTCTGAGATGTGTTAACGAGATTAAGTCTTAAGACTTCAAGAAGTTGTATAACGTTTGTGCCTTTTTTCCTCTGTTTTCTGTCTTCAAAATTGCGTAATTACATATTGCTACCTATTTGCAAGTAGCAACTATGTGTGTACATATGGACTTGTTAATAGTGATTAATTGCGCGATTTTTTTTCCTTCTCAACGTTCATTTCGAATGAAAAGAGATTCAGTTTTTTTACAGTAGTCGCGAAATGTGTAAATAAACTGCCTCTATTTGTCACTTCTTTTAATTTCAATTTCTTCTCAACTATTTTTTGTTCAGCTAGGAATATGCACGCGCGTATCACATTTTTATAGTATGAAATAAAATTAATGTAATTGCAAGCATTAGGAATTTTTTCTTCAATTTTCTTTTACATCTACTTATGCTATGCAAACTTATCATGTTGGAAGAATAGGATTTTTATAATTTTTGAAGGGGTTAAGAGCTTTGACTAGGTTGGGATTGTTAATGAATATTCGAGTTTATAAGCTTATGGAATTTTTTATGAATTTTAAAATTGCGGTTTCTTCAAGAATTTCAAAGGTGAAAACTTTTAATTTTTAAAGTGTAAATTTAAATCTTAAAACTGAAAGCTTTTTTAACTTTGATAGTGAAAATTTAAATTTTGAAAGTAAACTTTTGATTTTCGAAAGAAAAAATTTAAATTTCGAAAGTATAAACTTTTAGTTTCAAAAGTAAAAACTTTAATTTTGAAAGTGAAAACTTTTAATTTCAAAATGAAAACTTTAATTTCAAAAGTGAAAACTTTTTAACTTCGAAAGCAAAAAGTTTTAAATTGAAAGTTTTTTAATTTTGAAAGTGAAAATTTTCGAATATCAAAGATAAAAATCTTAAAGCCACAACTTCCTTTTCACCTCTAAGTCCACCAATAAATCAAAAATAATCACCAACCCAATTTCACTGGACTCGCAAAAAATATTTTGATATCCCATATTTTACGTCTTAAAAATCTCAATAGACACTTTTTTTTGCGAGTTATGTTAAGCTTCAATCCCCTTGACAAGAAATGCTTAAAAATATTTCATCTTTCTTTTAAAATCTCAATCTGATTTTTTTTTTAAACTTTATTACATTATTTTAATATAAAGTGAACAGGTGCACATTCTTTCTCACATTTTTCATCTTCATTCTTCAATTACTTTTTGCACTCTTATTATTATTTTTATGTTTGCAAGTATTTTCAGCTGGTATTGGCTGGTATGCTGATTTAATGTACGGAATGTTGTAAAAAGTGTTTTTGCTTTAATGATGTATGTTCATGTTGAAGATTTAAAATATTTTAAGCGGCAAATTATCGGCTTTTTGGTATGGGAGAATAAGTATGATGAGGAGGATGTCTAAAGTTATTCGTGTAGATCTGATTGATGATGATATTGCTGTTGGGATGACAGGATGGGTGTATAAGGAAGATTACATCCTTAGAACTAGTTTTCTGCGGTTTCTCCTGATTAATTAGTATTGAATTGACTCTATAGCTCTTAATGACTACTAAACTAGTGTGATATGGAGGGTTAAGGGGTCAATAGCTGATTTGTCCCATCTCGAAATTTAAATTTAGCACCAATTATGCCTCAAATTCACAGCTTTCAAATTGTATGCCATGAACATTAATGAAATTAAGACCAAACAAGCAAAATTCCAACTAATCGCCTTAGCCACTTATTGTCTTAAAACATCCATTATACTTCCAATCATCCCAAATTACCAAATGAGCTTAGGCAATAATAATAACAATTTTTTGTTGATTGCCTTCAATAGAAGCATAGCTTCACACTCTAGATATTCAAAAATTGGCGATGATTCATTGCAATTCACGAAAGAAGTAATCGATCGAGTTGGTTTTTTTAAAGAAAGCGAAATGAGCTAAAAGAAGTGAAAAATAATTTATTTTCAAGATGAATTTCGGACTTGATTTTCTGGTACAATAAATTGCCAAAAAAAAACGACTTAAAGAAGGTAAAAGAGAATTTAATAATGCAAAATGCGCGAATTAATATTTTCATGATCAGCCCGTCCCGGAGGCAACATGCAGATATCTTGTTAACAACAGATTGTAAATTAAATTGTAAATCACATATGATAACCATATGCCAAATGCTTATTACATATAACATCGGGACACAAATTTATGCAATTTTTATATCGGCTCGGGACCTTGTCTGCCAATTAATTGGACAATAATTCATTTTCAGTTCGTTTTTTGAGTTCAATGAAGAAAATTGCAAGTTGGAAATATTCAGGGTGTGGCGAGGTTTAGAGCGCATTTTATAAAATGGGATAGAATAGATGAAGCCTGATTTATGTATCGTAAATGAATTTCAAAAGAAGTCTAGCATGTAGAACACTTATCACTTAGCAGGTGCGTAGCCAGGGGGGGGACTATTTGGGGGACAAATCCCCCCAAGTAAACAGAAATTTCTTTATTTTGCTAGGGTTTTTATGAAAAAATCACAAAAATACCCCCCCCCCCCCCCTCTTCAAATTCCTAGTTATCTGAAGCATTTACACTAGGAATGGGCAATGTGTATGACGCGGCACACAATTGTAACGTAGAACTGATGGAGACATAAAAGCTTAAGTCACATCAATCTATTCTAGCCGAGATGAGAGGATTACCAAAAAACTCAAAGCTATAGTCAATTTTCTCCAACTTTATGAAAGTTTACAAACCAGCCATCTATACAAACTGCACAGAACCAACTCTTTCTTTTCTTCCCTTAGCAACCATACGACAAAAACTCTTTTTTCTTACGTCTTGATTCTGGCGTTATGATCACGTTTTTAATTTTAATTTTTTTTTTTTCATCTTTCATGTCTACATAATGCAATATTAATATATGCAGAGGTATTTTATGGTATTTTGAAAGACTCATAAACATATTTCTGTCTCTCTTAGCACTTGGAATTAATTAAATGTTGTGACTGCTTTGTTGTGAGAATTTTTTTTTTTCGTTCCATCTCGTATGACTCGATTCGTGAAAAATAAAAATTTATGTTAGCGCCAGCGTCAACAACAGCAAGTGTTACTACATTAATGTTTGAAGGAGGAGAGTAAGCGCCGTGCATTGTGAATTAATTTATGCATTTTAAGATTTAATTTGAAATTTTATTAGACTTTTAAAAAATTATGTGAGTCATAAATTATTTATTAAATCATGCATTTATCAGATATGAGGTCGCTGTGTGAAATAGATTTAAGGAGCAATTATCTTGTGGGAGATTTATGATTAATTGAAATGTTTATGATCCTCGGGGGACTTTTTTTTATTGAAAGATGTCTTGATAAATTAGTTAACTTGAATTATGGTTGAGATTATTGATTTATGAATTTTATAACGTTTTTTTAGAATTTAAAATAAAAGTTTAAATTTTTAAGGTTTTGAAAATAATGATAAACATTTGAAGGGTTCCAAATACTAAAGCTAGATAAAACTATAGTAAATGACTTAATTCTCAATTTTATTTCTTTAAGATAGATTCCAATGTTAGCAAAGAGAACAGAGTCCGTTACAAACAAAAAAAATTCAAAATTTTCGCGCGGTATTTTTTTAAAATTTCAAAATAAGAAAGTCTGTTACTTTTTATTTTTTTTTAAACTAGGTGTTTTTCTGTACGGCCAGCGAAGTAAGTAAGTAGGTGTTTTTTAAAGCATAAACATTTAAGGAATGCAATTTCATCACAGTGATTATCTTAATCATAAAAACTAGTAAGAATGTTCACTAAAATTACAAATTACTCGAAAAATAATAATTCACAACGAATTTTTTTAAAAATAAGAACTTCGAAGATTCGATTTTCGAAAAATAAGAACCTCGAAAATTCGAAGTTCGAATAATAAGAACTCAAAAATTTCTGTTTGCTAGCATTGGGATAGATTAGTCACTTTTAACTTTTCTAACCCCAAAAGTATTCATTAAACCCCTCAAAACTCTCTGAACTGCTTTATAAAATCCATAAACAATCAATCCAATCATAGCCAGCACAAATAAATAAGAATCAATTAAATGAAGTTGGAAATAGTTTAGCTTATGAGCTGCTGATCGTAAGTGACTTGCTCCTTGATTCCTTATTGCATATTCAACCCAATAGACTGTTGACTGTTGAGGAGTCATTGGACGATCCTTGAAAATCTTTGAGATTTTCTGTGCATTATTTTGATACTCGAACTTCCTCAAGACTTCATTGATATTTTTCAAAATCAAATCTTCATTTAAGTCCTTATATTCCATAACAGTCCCGATTCCCATTTGTTGAGCTTGAAGCATGTTCATTTTTTGGTCGGAATAAATTGGAACTCCAATTACAGGAACTCCTTCTATAATTGCTTCTGTTGTTCCTAACAATCCTCCATGAGTTATGAAAAGCTTTACATTTGGATGTGCCAAGATGTCTCTTTGAGGGATCCATGAACTAGTCATGACATTGTCTGGCTTATCAATCAAGGTTTCATTCTCAAACTTCCAAATGACTTTTTCTTTAAGTTGACTGAAAACTTTGATGAATGCATTGCGCTTCTCGACAGGCAAATCACTTCCTTGAATCATTGAGCCAAAAGAGAACAAAATCGCTCCATCATGTGCTGAGTCGAGGAATCCTTTAATGTCTTGTGGAAGTTCTTTTGGCTCATCAACATGAAGTCCCCCAATTTCGATCTGTGGATTAAGTAGCTAAAAAAAGGCACAAGACTGAGATCTAAGCATTATTACCATATTAGCTACAGTTGGTCTAATTGACAATACACTAAAGTGATGATAAATAAAGACCAAGGAAGTACTCTTCATGACAGCTTTCAATGACTTCCCAGTATGTCCAAAATGATAGTCGAAGACTCTTTCCTGGAATTAATAATAAACTTAACTTAGTTTCCATATTAATTCATCAAGCAGCCAACGACACTTCCTGTTCATCGACCATCAAAATTATATTGACGGCTTTTCTTTAAATTTTAATTATCAACTGTCATTAAACTTGCTTCATTTCTCTCACCTGCCTCTCGTAGTGATAAAGTTCCATAAATAAGTTTTCATATTGGCATATCAGCATGTTGTACGTTCGCTGCCAAAAATTCATATTTTCTGAAAATTTCACAAAATTATGCGGCACGTAAGCATATTCCATTGGAGCTTTCGTCAGATCATTAGTCCATTTTGATGTGCTGAATGTTGAAGATCCAATAAGTGGACAGTTGTAATGAGCCGCTAGTCCATAAAGGGCTTCAAAAAAGAAAACTTCCACAATTATTGCGTCAAAATGTTTTTCACGTTTAAGCAGTGCCTTAATATTTGGATGTGAAAGTGTAAAATTTGATAAAAACTCTCCAAGATTGGATAATAAAGACATGTGCTTTTGTGGTGGATAATCTTCACGGACGAACATGTTTCCCAGCTCAACTGGAAAATTGAATAAAAATATCATTGAACATTATCTGTATCAATGAACTCAACGTCCTTGACATTTGTTTCTGCCAATGACAAGGTCATTCATACTTACGTTCATTGTCGTAGACGAGATTAACGTCATTATAGTTTGGAATTGGTTTCTTGAGCGGAAATGGTGAAATCATGTAAACCTCGTGGCCAGCATTGGCTAAGCTTTTCATTATTGAGTGACCTATCACCCAATGGGACTTGAAGCTGGAAGTTTATGCTTTATAGTTTAACCTTTAAACTAGTAAACAGCATATGCTACTTACCTTACAGGAAAAACGCCTAAAATTTTATAAGGATTAGCATAGCTCATCATCAAGGCCAATAACACAGCAGTCAAATATAAACCCTTCATATTGATGTTGACATTAAAAAATTTTTGACCCAATTCTTATCTACAAAATGATTGTCTCGTGAACTGATTATTAACAAAATTTAATATTTGCCAAAACACTTGAAACTAGTCTGCACTGTACACATGTAATCTTCGAACTGAGACAAAATCACCGAAAATATTTTTTATTGTAAAGATTTGAGAAGTCTCCCATTAGACATGACGGGGAGTTCACGGAAGTACATGGTGTCCTTGGTTTGCCCTTAATCCAAACAGCTTTACAAATCAAGGACATCCTGTAATATGTTGTTGTAAACCTAATTTTTAACTGTCGAATAGGCTTCAAACAGCCGTCAAAGATCGCTTACTATATTATAAAAAAAACTATGCCAGCACCAAAAAAATATAATTCCCGTTTAAAAGAAAGTTAAACAAGTTTGGAAAAAATGATCATTCATTAATGACGTCTATATAATATGGAATTTTGAACCCCCTCCCCTCGCTTCTCCTTATCGCACACAATTTTTTAATTTTTTAAGTTGTGAAAAAATTGCAAGTTCTGATTAATGCAGGACGTCATAAGAAAATAGCCCTAAAATTTTTTCCCAAACTTTTACGACTTAAGCACTAATGGCTGCTTTTGAGGAGAATAATTAATACAAATTTCGTGGCAGTCAAGGAGAGGTTAAATCTCGATTTTTGATAGAATTCTGTTATGAACCGACCTTATATACCTTGATAAAAGTTGAATTAAATATTTTGCACGATATTATCAACGTCTTAATGTGAACTGAATTATAGTTATTAATCGACAGCTGCGAGATGAGTAAATAAACTCAGTCTAAAAATATGTAGGTAAATACCTTGTTTTAGTACTTATGTAACGACGATGTCATTGACATTTTCATTGAATTTGGAGACTGAAGCATGGGCAGGAGTTTTTAACTCTAAATACTCGTGACCCTCCCCCCCCCCCCCCCCCGCCCCTCCCCAACCCCCCTCCACCCTTGGATACGATTAAAAACTTTTTGTGCATCGCTTTTTTTGATAATTTTATGCAATAGATTTTCCTTTTAATGTCATCCTCCCCCGCCCCTCCCCCCCTTCTTCTTCAGTGGTACAAAATATCAAAACAACCCTTTACAGGGTTCTAAACCCATCGAAATCCACAAACAATGTATCTGTACGAATGTGCAAATTAACCAAAGTTAAATGTTATTGAGCCATAAATTACAGCAATGCATAAAGCTCAGAAGAAAAATAATAAAAAAACATTAAGCAATAATCATTTTGCATTTATGGGTGCATGCAAAACACATGTCATGTTGCGAATTTTTTATGAGATTTTGAAAGCAATCATAAAGCAGTTAAACGCCAATTTCTTGTGGAATTAATTATAAAGAAATGCTTGTAAACATAACCGACATGTCGACAGTAGATATATAGGTATTTGCCATTTGGTGCCTCATAAGTTACATATTATGAATTTCATGTCATGTGCGACATTTTAAATGATCTGTGGGTAAACGTTTGAAGGAAGAATTGCTCATCGTGAGGCTCAGATTTAGATGGAAATTTGCATTGAGTTCAAGTGTGGCATTAAGGCACTAAAATGTGATTAGAATATTGTTATTGGTTGAGACTGTGTTAATAAATAAAATATAAAAACATTTATTGCTAATAAAGCAGCAGTGGAATGATGATCGCCAGCAGTGCAATGCAAGGTGTAATGATGCTAAGCTGCTTACATGATCAGATGACTGCTGAGCTAGATTTAACGATTGTTTGAATTTTAAAAATATACGGTTGTGGGAGGAGGGGGGGGGGGGGTGTTCCTAGCTCAAATTGTGGTATCCAGATTCTTTCAACTTTCTGTGCATGGTCCTTTCCAGCTTATCCCATGAATTATGTCGGTTGTATTTGATTTTTAAGACCCCATTTTCAACCTCTTAGCTTCATCAAATTCTACTCAATTCCCACTCAATTCCTAATCCGATTCAAAGATGCGTCGTTCTTACAGTAAATCCAATTTATTACACTTTTAAAATAACACAATAAAAAGTAGATTCACTTTATTATTGAATTGATCATAAATTAAAATAAAAATGCGAATATGAAGCAATAAAGAGATGGAATTCAAGTTGATCACCGTAAAACATACATACATTTTCTCATCTTGAGTCTATCCATTTAAAATATTTGCTTCTTTCTCTCTCTCTTCGCTGCTTAATGCAGCATTTAAATTATAACAGCAACTACTATTGCCAATGTATTTAAAATGCAAACAAAATAAATTTCTTCTCTTAAATGTAAGTTCATGTTTTAAATCTGATTGAGGAAAGAGTCGAGAATAAAAAAAAAAGTGGAATATAAAATAAAAAATAAGAAATATTAATTGAATTTAATTAAAGTAATGTTTTACAGCAATTCAATAATATGTGTAATGGAGATCTGAAGCAATGGATCAGTATTATAAAATATTAAAAGTGCTCTTTATATGCATTCTCATGTACCTATGGCATGTGAGAAGTGTGTGGAGATTGTGAATTTATTTTAATGAATTTTGTGCATTATCGGATGGAAAAGTGAGAATCATCGGTGCATTGTTGTGATGGGATAGGTTTTGAATTAAATTTATGGATAGAATGTAAATAAATATTGAATATCGTGAGATTCTGATTGAAAGAGGAAGTTTGAATTGAAGCTTAGAGGTTAAGGAGTGCTTTGGATACAAAAGAATAAGAGTTCAGTTCCTATCAAGTTCCTATAAAACTAAAACTATCTTATAAGTTGCTTAAAACCGTTGAATGATTGAAATTTAAAATTTCCCGCGCTTTTATTTCAATCTATTAGAATTTTATTTCCAATTTTCTAGATATTTACGCATAAATCCTGAGAAAAAATGATATTTATAGCTTTGCTCACTTCCAATAAACAGTTTACAACCATTTAAATGACTCAAATCTATGCAATGAAGTCAAATTTTAATGCAAAAATATTCAAGTGGAGAAAAAAAAATAAAAAACTTTTAAAATAAATTTTCCGTTACTCAAAAAATTCATAAAAAAAGATCTTCATTAATTAAGCAGTAACCCCATCCTCAGGTATAAAATTCCATTACAAAAACAAAGTCCAATAAAAATTATTCTCAGCACAATTTCTTACACATGTTATTCATATTTTGAATGCACATCACACATGTATCTATATTATAATAATACACGTTACATCGCATGCATAAGAAATGAAATTTAAAACTTGAAATGAAAACCGCAATTCGCTGGGTGAGGGGAAGGTCTTAACAAAAAATAAAGTATATAAAAATTATGAATGATGAAAAATGACAAGTGATTTGAGAAAAAAAAAATCGTTCAGATGTGAAAAATTACCTCAATTTATTGGTTGGTTAACAAGCAAAGCGTCAACAGCGAGCACAAACAATTGTTGTAATGTAATATTCATGATGTCGCATTATATTACAATAAATCGAGTGCCAGTGCCAACAAGTACTTGCGAGTGGGAAACCAATACATATTTTATACATTGCCGAAAGGATAAAACAGCTACCACTTGCGTAGGCTTTACGATAGCTGATAATGAGGTAGTCAATTAATGTATTGGCGAATAAAAATGAGAGGAGAAAGGGAAGAAATCAGAGTGGAACCAGCAACATGACTGTTAAGTCAATTTTGCAAGGGATGAGAAGCTTTTTGGTGACGGCACTATGGGGCAAAATTGAAAAAAAGGGGTAATTCACTTCGAAAATAGGACTCTTTCAATTTAGGTTCTCGGGGTATTTTTTTCTTGTAGAGGACATTAAATTAGACTTGCATGCCAAATTTCAGACCATTTTGTGCTGTTTTTGAGATTCTAGAGCTATTTGAAGTTGAAAATGAGCAAAAAAACTGGTTTTTTCATGACATATTTAAACTTAAAAATCTCTGCAATGTTTAAAGTTATTGAAAAATTGTTTTCAATTCCTATAAGAACAATATAAGAGCTTTATTTTAATGTATTGTAAAATTTTTAACTTTCCTGTTTTGGTGCTAGTATAGTTGGAAATGTACGAAAATCCTATGAAAAATATCTATAAACGTGCCGCAACTATCTTAGCAGGTTGATTTCCAGGTAACTGAATATACAGAAATATAGCTCTTGATATACAGTTTGTAAAACTGTATAAACATTAGAAATAATAAGGTACGTTTTTGAGAAAAATTGGTTTGTGTAAGTCGTGAAATATTAAGCCAAAAACTGATTTTTCTTTTAAAAACAACAAATCATTCATATTAGAAAAGTTTTGTAATGTTTTCTAATTGCAAATAATATTTAAAGACAACCTGCAAAAATTTTTTTTCAAAAAACTCAAAATTTGACGAGATATCGGGTACATTTGATATCTGATGACTTGTATGTTTTTTGCACCACTCAAATGACTCTAACTTTTGTTTAACTTAATATTTTTCAGTTCTGTTTCCTGCTTATTGTAGCTTAAGTCAAAAAATATATAATACTTAATAGTTGCATATGACATTGATCTTGATTATTGGCATTGTTTGTGAATGACCCCAAACTAAGAAAAATCTTGAAAACGACATTTCTAGAAATACCACTTAGAAAGAAAATTGTGTATTGTTTTGAGTTTTTTCATGATGATTTATGATAATTATGACTGTTAAAACTCAAAAACATGGAATTCATAAACTTTTTGCGATCTCAGGTAGCCTGATTAGGTACGACCCTAGTAGTATCTATTGGACCAGAAAGTCTCTAGTATCAGACTATTTTAAAAACTCAAATTAATGAATTTATCATATTTAAGCATATTTATAGCAAAATATTTCATTTTTAGATACTTTTGGTTGAAAAATTGTGAATTTTGGCTATTTTGTTTAAGTTCAGCTTGCGTCGGTCACATTCAATCCACTCTAGGTGCAACTATAATGAAGTTTTATACCAGTATTATACATCTTCTTAAAGGTACTGATCTAAACTAGCAATAATTAAAAACAGAATGCAAAAATATGTATCCTGAAAAAAGTTAGAGCTCTTTATGTACATCAAAAAGCATACAGAAACGCAACCACCATAGGTAAAAATACAAAAATTGAAAATACTTTAAGTTTTTTTTGACAAACTTTGATTTTTTTGTAATAATAACCACATATAAACACATTTTCAATACTTTTTTGTAAGATTTTTGTTGAAATTTTAAATTTTTGTATTTTTACCTATGATGGTTGCGTTTTTGTATGCTTTTTGATGTACATAAAGAGCTCTAACTTTTTTCAGGATACATATTTTTGCATTCTGTTTTTAATTATTGCTAGTTTAGATCAGTACCTTTAAGAAGATGTATAATACTGGTATAAAACTTCATTATAGTTGCACCTAGAGTGGATTGAATGTGACCGACGCAAGCTGAACTTAAACAAAATAGCCAAAATTCACAATTTTTCAACCAAAAGTATCTAAAAATGAAATATTTTGCTATAAATATGCTTAAATATGATAAATTCATTAATTTGAGTTTTTAAAATAGTCTGATACTAGAGACTTTCTGGTCCAATAGATACTACTAGGGTCGTACCTAATCAGGCTACCTGAGATCGCAAAAAGTTTATGAATTCCATGTTTTTGAGTTTTAACAGTCATAATTATCATAAATCATCATGAAAAAACTCAAAACAATACACAATTTTCTTTCTAAGTGGTATTTCTAGAAATGTCGTTTTCAAGATTTTTCTTAGTTTGGGGTCATTCACAAACAATGCCAATAATCAAGATCAATGTCATATGCAACTATTAAGTATTATATATTTTTTGACTTAAGCTACAATAAGCAGGAAACAGAACTGAAAAATATTAAGTTAAACAAAAGTTAGAGTCATTTGAGTGGTGCAAAAAACATACAAGTCATCAGATATCAAATGTACCCGATATCTCGTCAAATTTTGAGTTTTTTGAAAAAAAATTTTTGCAGGTTGTCTTTAAATATTATTTGCAATTAGAAAACATTACAAAACTTTTCTAATATGAATGATTTGTTGTTTTTAAAAGAAAAATCAGTTTTTGGCTTAATATTTCACGACTTACACAAACCAATTTTTCTCAAAAACGTACCTTATTATTTCTAATGTTTATACAGTTTTACAAACTGTATATCAAGAGCTATATTTCTGTATATTCAGTTACCTGGAAATCAACCTGCTAAGATAGTTGCGGCACGTTTATAGATATTTTTCATAGGATTTTCGTACATTTCCAACTATACTAGCACCAAAACAGGAAAGTTAAAAGTTTTATAATACATTAAAATAAAGCTCTTATATTGTTCTTATAGGAATTGAAAACAATTTTTCAATAACTTTAAACATTGCAGAGATTTTTAAGTTTAAATATGTCATGAAAAAACCAGTTTTTTTGCTCATTTTCAACTTCAAATAGCTCTAGAATCTCAAAAACAGCACAAAATGGTCTGAAATTTGGCATGCAAGTCTAATTTAATGTCCTCTACAAGAAAAAAATACCCCGAGAACCTAAATTGAAAGAGTCCTATTTTCGAAGTGAATTACCCCTTTTTTTCAATTTTGCCCCATAGTGGACGGTTACGGTTAGTTATGCTTACTGTTGTTCATTATTGCTGTGATCAGGCTGTGATTTGCTTAATTTTGCTCAGATTTAGAGCTCAAAACCTAGATTCGTCTGAACAAACCCTCAACAGGTCTTCCCTCCCAGGAACAACATTATCAGTTGACTGATTGACTGCTGCTCTTTGTTTTTTGTTCCATGAAAGCTGTCTTTATGATCTCACTCATATTCATTTAATGCCTCTAAAATGCAATGAATATTTATGATCACGACCAGGCCAATTTAAATATATTCCATAAAATTCATTCATTCATTGTGTGAATATAAAAAGAGCGAAGAAAAGCAATGAAATGAGACACAGCGAGAAAGAGAGGTTGGAGCAAATGAGATGCGATAGGAGAAAAATTGTTTCGAGGAGATACAAACACAGAAGTGTTAAAAATTTCATATTTAATGTCTGAATGATTCCGCGAGGCATTTAGATGATTTTTTTTATATATTTCTTCTTCTTGATGCTCGATCATGAATTATGGCTTGGATGATCACGAGGAATTAAAGCTTTGGAATTCTTGCAAACTAGTAAACATTTTTATTAAGATTAGGAATCGTTCATAAGTGATGTCAATCTGTTGCTTCACCACATAGTGCTAGAAGTGCTTTCTTATAATTTCCTAAAATATAAAGCAAACCTAAAGTTTATGTCTCAAACTTAGTATTTAATTCTTACCGGATGTGTCACCTTTTATAAATGACATTAGTGACTCTGAAAATTTGCTTTGAAACTCAGCTTTTATATCATTCATGTCAATTTCACAACGTGAGATGCAGATACGAATGAGAGTTGAATCATTTGTTCCTATCCCAGCCATTGATCTGTGAAGACGACGAGAAAAATGTTTACATTGACTTTCAGGATTCAATCTTAATAACAGAGCATCCTTGAAGCATCCATGAAATTTACTTTTAATATCATCCTCAAGAGATACTCCTTTGATTGCCTCATATTCCTTGGCCATTAATTTTAAATGCTCAGTGCTTCTACATCCAAAAACCTCTACGATTTTGGCTTCGTCTTTGAAAATTCGATTAATAGCTTCTTTAAGAAGCCTTGCATCTACTTGAAATGCATTCTTCTCATCCATTGGATTCTCAATTCTTTTGCCTTCTGCCAGGCTTATCAGCATATTCTCAAAATGTCCACTAAGTTGTTCTCTCATGTGCTGTTCAAGCGATTTATCATAAAGTCGCTGATAAGCATTGGATATGTCATTTATTTCTTTATTAGTCATCAAGCATAGCACATCTACTATTAAGTCTAATATTTTGGACTTGCTTGATAAAACCTCGTAAATTTCGTTTGCATAAAATTCATTTTTCGGTGTTAATAATCCAAACAAGACATTCTGGAAGTTTCCCGTTATTCCTGATATGATTTCGTGTTGTAAGTTTTTATTAAATAACTGACTGTATGCCTTCACAATTTTAATCCTTTGATCATCAGTACGACGACATAAAATATTGATAAGTGTCTTTGAATCTGTTCCTACACCTTTAATGGCGTTTTGTAGATTTTCAGCATCATTGTATGCATCGAAGTTTTCTACAGGTTTTAGCGATGGGTTAAACTGATTAAGGAATGTAAATTGATGATGTTTAGAATGAAAATTAAATTTTTAACTTACATTAGGATTCATTTTTTTATGGACCTGGTTTGTGTGATACTTAGTAAAGACTATGAAATTGACTGAAACGAAAATGATTTAATGCCGAAATTTATTTTTTGTATTATAAAAAGCAGAGCTCAAAGTCGACTCGAGTTGACTTCATTTTCAAGTCAATTACAAAAAAATGATGTCCACTCGAAAAAAGTTGAGTCGACTCGGTTTTGACTCGAACCCTATCGACTTCGAGCTCTGATAAAAAATTTAATCAGAAACTTAATTTAATGCGGCCAAAAAGTATGAGTAATGCCTGATTACAATGAAATAGTCACTTAGTTTATGAGTTTTTGCGATGAAGCATTATTTATAATTTTGGAGAATGATCTTTAAAATTGTATCACATCTTTACAGCAATTAGACTGAATTGAAGATCAAGCTATTGTCTTGCAGTTGCCGTTTATCGTCAAAAAACACCTCAAGTCTAGAATGGCTTATAGGCAGTAATACCTCATACAAAAAATAAATATTTGGACACAACAATTACATACAATCATTTATCTTCTCTTTCCCGCTTCCATTCTTTAATTCCCTCCTTTCTATTGACTTGAATTTTTTTTGTAAATCACCATAATGCATCGTGTGCTTATTATGCTGATAAAATAAAAAAATTGCAATAATTCTCGATCTTTTGCAAACACATTTAAAATATTGTTGTGCTGCCTTGTGTTGCCTCGTGCCCATTGGCGAAACTTTCATTTCCCTTTCATTTAATTCATTTTTCATTCAATTTTTCTGTCTGTGCAATAAACAATGCGTCCAAAAGTGATAATTTAAATAAATTGAAAAAAAGTGAAAATTATTATAATTATGAGTGTTTTTTTAAAAACCCCCCCGTCAATTATCGTCAACAGTTTAGCACCAATTTACAGCTTTTTCATATTAAACTATGTGGCGTGTTACTGAAATTGATAGTTCACTGATCAATAATAATTATAGGGTCTGCATGACGGTAAATTAATGATTTAAAATTAACTTGAACGAAATTGAGTATCTTGTCATGAGTCATTGAATCTTAATGGATAAAAAAAAAATATTACGTGAACTTAAAAGTTATGAACTATAAAAGAATTCAATAAACAGACATGAAAAATTGTTTAATTCCATTAATGAATCAAAACAAAAATTTATTAAATTAATTAAACGAAAAACTACAAAGGAAATTCGCATGAAATCAATATTTTACAACAGCACTGAGTGGAGATGACTGGCGGCATAAAAGTGATTACACTTAAAAGAGCATGATTCTAAGAAGAAATTAGATATTGAATTAAGTATCTGGCATGAGTAAAGCACATGAACTTATTAACAGCTGTAAATTTTATTGTTTGGCTGATTTTATGGGAGGAAATGGATGCTTTGGGGTCAGTTTGGGTGTTTTTCTGAAGATCATCCAGGAGCTGAGGATAAGAGTTGATTGAACTTCATGAATGGTGTTAAGAGCCCCTCTTCAGGAAAAAGGGGGGGGGGGAGTGGGGGTTGAAACTGTTTCCCATTCATTTGCAATTTTTAAAAGAGATTCGACTAAATTGAATGCAAAATTCTATCTTGAAAGATAATGTGGGTGGGTGGGGGGTTGGACCCTGATTGAACCTTCTATCCTTGTGACTAAGAAACAGTGTTATCTTTGACTGAATGTTATATGGCCTATTTCATGTTTAATTCTAGAGCGATTGATTAATTGAGATTCAAACCATGGCAGCATCGTAGTTTTAAGCCCAAACTAAGCTACACACCTAGTCCCTTTGACTAAAAACTAAAGCAAATGCGCCTCTTAACCCAAACTCATCCATCCTTACAAATTTCAATTTACTTTGTTTCTCCAACTTTTGTCTTTTCTTCTGTTTCGCAACCGTAAAGATTTTGCACATGCGGTGGTTAATGGCATTTCGTGTCTTTTTAGTTTTATTTATTTCGTTTTTTTCTTTCTATCCATACACTTTATGAATTTCATCTAATGTGGTATTACAAAATTAAATTAAATTAAATTTCGCAAAAGAGTCTGAATGTGAAATAAAGGCAAGCATAGCAAGTAACGAAAAGAAAAAAATCTTCTCAGACACTTTGCACTCGGTCACGATAAACCGTGAACAGCATTTGACAACTGTTTAGACACAAAAATGTAATTTCAACACCTTTTTTTCGCTATGTTGCATATGCTTACACGCTTTTGCGGCCAATAAGTGGTTATCTCATGTCATCAGTAAACGTCTTTAAGTCGTTTTTTTTCTCTCATTTTCAATTAAAAATGTTTACGCTTTAGAAGTGGAATTAATTAATTAGCTAAGTTAAAGATGTTTGTTTGGAATGACTTTTTTGCGTCTCTAAACTTTAAAATTACACGCAATGTATTGATGCAGTGGTTGAGGGTTCATTTATAAATGATGTCTAGGCTCAATTTCTTAATACATTTTGAACCATGAGCAGGTTTTTGAAGCTTCTCGGAACCACAGAAACAAATACCAATGAACAGCAGTTTCTAGGACCAGTATCTTGGTAAACGCTATGTATAAACTACTTTAGAGGTTAAGATAATGGTTTTAAGATCCTTCAAATCTTAGACATCACTCATGATAGGCCCCATTATTAGATACGAGAATAATTAATGATGAAATTTAATATTTAATGTATCTAATGATACACGACTACTAGCTGCGGCGTGGTGTAATGTTCATCAATGTTGACAATTGTTTAATGTGCATTATGCGATTTTGTTTATGATTATATAACTTTTATTTTGAGGATAAGGCTTTGACCTTCGTGGTTTTTCATTGATTTATTTAGCTTTAAATTAAAACAGATCGGATGATGTGGAAAATTAATCGATTTATATTGTAGCACAGAAATGAATGAACTATCGCTTGTAGTTTTGTTCGTGAAACAAGATGTTTTTGTTGAAATTAATGCTGTGAAAAATGTAGACGAAACTTTATCCTTAACCTAGAAATTTTTATTTCAATTTTTTTCGATCGTATCTAGTTTCAGATTGAAAGGTGTTATGGTTAAAGTTCGAATTAAAATAAATAAATGGTCAGATTATTTTCGAAATTCGATTTAAAGTAAGAAAATGTTCGGATTATTTCCGAAATTCGAATTAAAGTTGAAAAGGGACGGATTATTTTCGAAATTCGGTTTAAAGTAAAAACTGTTCAGATTATTTTCGAAATTCGGTTTAAAGTAGGAAAATGGTCAGATTATTTTCGAAATTCGGATTAAAGTTGAAAAGGATCGAATTATTTTCGAAATTCGGTTTAAAGTAAAAACTGTTCGGATTATTTTCGAAATTCGGTTTAAAGTAGGAAAATGGTCAGATTATTTTTGAAATTCGGATTAAAATTCAAAAGCTTAAATTCAAAGAAAATATTAAACAATTCTGGTTTCAACTCAAATTACCTAAAAACCTAAAAACTCCTAACCAGCAGCTATGTCTATAGACAAAAGAAAACAACATGCTTGTTCCTAAAATTCAAAACACGACCATTAACTCACCGTGTAGCTACTTTTCGTACGAGTAACACAATTTTTAGGATTAGAAATTTTTTTTTATTTTTTGAAACTTGATCAGATAATCTAAAGCCTTTTAAAACATGCCATTTAATGTGCAAAACCTCCCAAGTTGTAGACTCATTTTTTTGAACTTACAATGTGTACAGATTTTGAGAAGCAACGTAATTTATTGCGACACATTAACATTAACACAGAGAATTTTGTTTAATTTGACAACAAGATAATTTTGCAAAAAGTAAGGAAATTCTCGTGCATCCTATTGCTGTAGCATCAATTCCGTGGAATTAATTTTTCTACATGAATATCAAAATACTTGAAATAATTCACACTAAAGTGCAGCATGCAAAAATTTAGAAGGAATTGTGGTGAATGCGGTAAATGAGTGAACTGACTATGCATGTATGCAGAAAATGTGAGAGATCAACATGTGATACATATGTGCAACATATAAACGTGAAATAGAGAGTTCAAGGTTATCTTAATAGCATAACACACATAGACCGCTGCTGCTTGAGACCTTATAGCGATCTATAAAAATAAAGAATTCTTTTAAAATGAAAAATAGCGACACTTTCACAATAAAAATTGTATTAAAATGTGCTAAATGGATATAAAAGAGAGGCAGGCAATAGCACCGTTACTGCATTGAGTCTATGACTTTATAGAGCTGAAAAATAAATATAAAAAAAACTTCACATAAATGGACTCAAATTTCCATGTCATTACATCGTTGTCGTTGTCGTCGTTGTCGAAGGAAAGAATTAAGTTGGTTGAAATGATTTTTTGGATGGAAAGTGGACATGACGCAGCTAGGTTGAAAAGTCAGAAGCTGTTCAAAATCTGTTTTTACAACAAAAAAAATTAAAAACTTCAAAATAATTTTCGGATTTCGAAAGGGAAAAGTTCAAATTTCGAAAGTGAAAAATTTTAATTTCGAAAGTGAAAATTTTTAATTTCGAAAGTGAAAAATTCGAATTTCGAAAGTGAAAAATTCGAATTTCGAAAGTGAAAAATTCGAATTTCGAAAGTGTAAAAATCGATTGCAGACAAAATGTCAAATAATTTACATTTTACTCACCCAAACAAGCTTAAATAAGCCAAAGAGACACAAAGATTTGCCATAATAATAATCACAATTCCTTTCATTAAGCACACACAGAAAGACCCACCGCTGCATCTATTTTTACTACCCGATCGCGTTCAATATGTCATTTTTTCTCTTAAATGTGTCTCTCTTTTCCCTCGATATTTTTTTATGCATTCCTTTTTGCTATTACATCTTTTGAGTTTAATATTACAGTAACTTGTAGGTATAAATTAAAACCATTCTTGTTCATACTTCATGTTACAATTTTTTTCTTCTCTTCTATTATTTTTTTAACTCTTTCATATTATAATAAAACAAAGTTTGTCAGCACACATTATGTAGTATGTTATTATTACACTGCTGTTCCAACAACTTTGTATGATCAACAATATCTTTGATGTAGG